TCCAGCCATCCAGCCCTTCTTCCTATTGTCCCCGCCCCCGCACTCCCCTCGCACTCACCCGCCTTTCTCCCGGAACCGCCCGCCCCACTCAGCCCCTCGGAAGTCCTCACCCCTGCGCCCGGCTCGCTCTTTCCTGCCTGCCCTCTCACCATCAAGTCACCCCCCAGCCCCGTGCTCCCGCAGCAGCCTCCACCTCCATTCACCCGGATACTCCGGTCCGGGCCCTTCATCGCACGTCCCGCCCCCCCCTTCCCCCAACACTGAAAGGGAGCCAGTCCCCACCCCCCTCACCTCCGCCCGCCCCGGCAGGCCATCCCTTCCCCCATGCCCGCCCCCACCAGCTTCGCCGGCGGCGTCACCACCGGCCCTGGCCTCCGGAAGAAACGGGAGGCTCTGGGGCAGGGGCTTTCGGGGCGTTTCGGGACAGGAGGCACTAGGCGGGCATTAGAAACTGAGCGGGAGTGCTGGCAGCTCCCCAGTCCGGCCCGTTGGCTCCCCCGTTACTCACTGACAGCGGCGGCATCCGAGTGCATTTTCGGACAGCTCACACCCTGCTCACTGCCCAGGCTCCCGCGCAGGCTTCGCGGTCCCCCCACCAGCTCTCAGCACCTCCGCTAGGAGCTGAGGACCCGCCGCCAGGCAATCCTGACCCGCCCACCTCGGCTCCTCCATTGGCTGAACCTCGGATAAGGGCCCGCCCCGCGGCAGCTCCCATTTGACATATGGAGCGAAGATAGAGCGAGTCTGTAGCTGGGGAAGAGGCCCCGCCCCCTAAAGTCGAACGCAATTGGTCCTAGTGCCGGGCCTCCGCAAAGCCTCTAGCGGAGGCCAGGCTCTGGAGGAGCAGGTTGGATCTTGCTTCTGTCAATCATCTCCAGGGGTCCGAAAGCGCGTGTAGGGGCGAGGCTGGGGAACTGGTCCACCTTGACCCTGAAGCCCCGCCTCTTCACGAGCTGGATTGGTGGAGCTAGAGACCAACCAAGAGAGATGGGTCCGCATCTGAAACAAAGCACTGAAGTGGGTAGCACGGTTGGGGGAAGCTCGTACTTCCCCTGGGAACTCAGCTCCTTCCTAGTTTTGAGTGCTCTTCCGGCCCTCCTTCCTGGGTCTCCCTCCACTTCTCTCAACTCTCAAAAGCGGCTCTCTACATAGAACTTGGACTGGGACTTCTCCATCAGCTGTTTCCTAAGAAAACCACGCAACTACATTTCCAGCAAACCCTCTGGGAATGAGCGCATTCCCATTTCCTGCCCAACAATCCAGTTTCTCCCCATTTTCAAAGTACAATTTTTTTCCAGAATTTGATCAAAACCAAACCAACTACGTAAATCCGTTACCATCGAGTATGGTTCCAACTCATAGGGATTCAAGGATGGAATGGAACTGCCCCGCAGTGTTTCCAGGCTGTAATCTTTCTGGACCTAGGCTGGCACATTTTCCTCCCAGGCTCATGGGGTCCAACAACCCACCTTTTGGTGCTTAACCACTGCGCCACCAAAGCACTTCCTTTTATCAAGTGTAGGCTGTGCCAAAATCTTTGGAATGCTACCAGCATTGTCTGCCATACACATCTGTGAGCCCCAAACAGCCAAGAGCTACACTCTGACCTTGGGTCTGCCGGGCACGTGGGCGGACCAGGAGTCAGGTGGCCAGCTCAAGGAAGACAAGTAGTGTAAACTGAAAGAACCAACATCATTGATGCTGGAAGTTGGTCCAGAAATAAAACTGGTTGTCATTTGGGCAAGGAAGGGGTGCACTGCCATCTAATAGATTTCGACTCACAGAGAACCTTCAGGATGGAATAGAAATGCTCCCCAACTCTCCCGGGGCTGTAAATGTATGGGAGCAGACAGTTCATCTTTATCTCTAGGAGCAACTGGTGCATGCCGCCCATCAAGCCACCAAATCCCCAAACAAACGCACTGCCAGAATTGGTTCTGACCGTATGGGACAGGGTAGAACTGCCCCTGTGATTTTTCCAGACAGTCAGTCTTTTAGCTAGCAGCCCAAATGTTAACCACTATGCCCCCAGGGCTCCTAAACCAGGCTTCATTTGGCAAGCAAGAGTTGGAAAGGAAAGCAAGAGTTCAAGTGAATGCTTCTGACTCCTGAGCTTCTTAACTCAAGAATTCCCTTGTTTCCCAGCATTAAATCAACCCATTAATCTACCACGTAATTGTGGCAATATTTTAATGTATTAATGGAGGCTTTCCTCTGCTCCCATCCCAAATCTTCTACCCCAACAGTAACGCAAACACCACGTGCTTGTTAAGCCAGGCCCTTCCCAGTCCTGCAGCTAAGACGATCTGCCGCAAAGAAGGAGCGTCACCACAAGGAGCCCATAACAAAATAATCAGTCGGTGTTAGATTTCTACCACCGAGGCTTTAATGTCAAGGTTTTAACATTGGAGTTTCAAATCTGGGCATAAAGATTAGTGAAAAGCAAAGATACTCAAAAAAAAATGGGAGGTTAGGCAAGCCACTTCCTGTGCTCCATAACCCACTGCCAACTCATAGTGACCCTGTGGGGAGACTAGAGCTGTTCCTCATGGTTTCCCAGTCTGTAGTCTTTACAGAAGCGAACTGCCCCATCCCTTCTGCAGAACTACTGGGGGTTCAAACCACCAACGACCACCTTGTAGTCACCAACCAAGTGCTTTCACCACTGTGCGACCACGTCGCTCTTAATCCCTAACTTCTCATTAATAAATCACAGCATTATAATGTTTTATCACTCATAGGTCTGTCTTTCAAACATTTATCAACCACGTCATGCAAGCAAAACATCTCATTCTCGAATAGAAAGTCATCCACTTCAGGCTCCTTCTCAAGGCAAGGATTTCTCATAAACCACCCTCTGGATCACTGAAGGAGTCCTGGTGGCAGAGTGGGTTATGTACTGGGCTGCTAACCTTAGAGTCAGCTGTTTGAAACCACCCGGTGCACTGTGGGAGAAAAGCAAGGCTCTCTCTCTCTTAAAGAGATACAGTCTCAGAAACACAAAAGGGGCAGTTCTACTGTGTCCTATTGGGTCTCTATGAGGCAGGACCAATTCAATGGAAGGAAGTTGAGTTTAGGGGTGGATTGCCTAGTGGCCCAGCAGATTGTATGCTGGGCTGGTAACCAAAAGGTGAATTGTGTCAATCCTCCAGTCATTCCACAAGAGAAACATGTGGTGGTCTGTTCACATAGGGATTACAGCCTTGGAAACCCTGTGAGGTTTCACTCACTGTGAGTAGGGTCGACTTGATGGCAGAGGCACTGGTTTTTATGGTTATTGATCATCTTTTGCCTGACAGAGCCTCAACTGGCCCTGAAAGAGATGGGTAGCTACCTCTTAGATTCTTCGAGGTAGGTGTTTCTTTGTTGGACGGACCTGATTGTAAGAAAGTCAAGCCTTCTGCTGAGCACAAAAGCTACTCCTGCAAGCTCCATCCCATTTCTGTTCTCAGCTTCTCTCTACATCTAAAACCAAAGCCAATTACCATTGAACTAAGTCCGACTCACAGCAACGCCGTGTGTCAGGGCTTGCACGGCACAAGTTTTCAGAAGCAGACCAGATGATTACAGTGCCATGCAAAGAAAACAGAAATCCTCACAACTGGACCAAAAAGTAACGTCATGATAAACTGAGGGGAAAAAATGAAGTCAAGGATTTTATCTTGCTTGGATCCATAATCAACACTCCTCGAAGCAGCAGTCAAGAAATCAAATGACCCATTGCACTGGGCAAATCTACTGCACAAGATCTTTTAAAGTGTTGAAAAGCAAAGATGTTCCTTTGAGGACTAAAGTGTGCCTGATCCAAGCCGTAGTATTTTCAGTCACCTCATATGCACGTGAAAGTTGGACATGAAGTAAGGAAGATTGAAGAAGAATCGATGCATTGGAATTAGGGTGCCGGCAAAGAAGAGTGGCAATACCAAACCGCCAGAAGAACAAACAAGTCTGTCTTGGAAGTAGTTCATCTAGGCGGTCCTTGGAATCAAGGATGGCGAGATTGGGTCTCATACTTTAGACAGGTTATTAAGAGAAGAAGAACATGATGCTTGGCAAAGTGGAAAAGCAGCAGAAAAGATGGATGGACAAGGTGGATGGACACAGTGGCTGCAAGGAGGGGCTCAAACATCACAATGACGAGCATGGCATGAGACCGAGCTGTGTTTCGTTCTAGGCTACATGGCATCCCTATGAGTCAGAACTGACTTGATGGCACCTGACAACAGCAACAAGCGCTCACCAGGCTTTTCTTTCGAAGCACCTCTGGGTGGACAGGAATCTCCAAGTTCTCCATCAGTAGCCAATCACACTTCATACCTCCCTAGGACTCCTATTCTACATCGCGGTAAGCAAACTCGCTGCCATCAAGTCATTTCCGACTCATAGTAACCTTATAGCGCACGGTTGAACTGCCCCTGTGCATTTCTGAGTCTAACTCTTTCCCACAGTAGAAAGCCTCTTCTTTCTCCCAAGGAGTGCCTAGTGGTTTCGAACTGCTGACCTTGTGGTTAGCAGTCCAATGCATAGCCACTACACCACAAGGGCTCCTATTCTACATCTAAAGGTTAATAAATCATACACAGTTTCTAAAATGTGCCATCTTATGTAAGAACCTTGGTGACAGTGGTTAAGTGCTCCAATTCAATGAACAAAAGGTTGGTAGTCCGAACCACCCAGCAGCGCCACAGGTGAAAGGGCTGGCAATCCACTGCCTCCAAGACCACTGCCAAGCAATCCCTGTGGAGCTTCTTCTGTGTCCATGACCAGCTGGACAGCACTGAACAACAACAAATAGCTTAGGAATCTTCAGATGTCTTCACGATGCCAGGAAATTTATCAGGGCCACGGCATGAACTTTATTTTGAAAAAAAAAATTTTTTTTTACTTCCTCCAAATTAAAGTAAGCCCAAGAAGTTGTAGCTAGGCATCTCTGAATGGATTGATTTGCACAGAACTTTACAATGGTGTGTATTATGACTCAGCTCTTCCAGGGTGGGGTCCTGCTCGCTGCTCCCCTCCTCCCCCACACACACCCAACACTCTGCTGTCACACGGGCGGTACCCATCAAGTAGTACCAAACCTGCGTGCTCTTTCAATATTGCTGTCAATTGAGTCGGTGTGATTATTTTCTAATTAAAAAACAAAAACAGAGTAATTTACCCAGATCTGGGTAATGGATCAGGAGTCTGGGTGGCATAGTGATTGTGCATCAGGCTGTGAATCACAAGGTCAGCAGTTTGAAATCATCAGCTGCTCCTTGGGAGAAAGATGAGACTTTTTACCCCTGTAAAAAGCTACAGTCACGGAAGTTCACAGGGCCAGTCCTCTCCTGTCCCATAGGGTGGCCATGAGTCAGAATGGACTGGATGGCAGTATGTTTGCAGGCCAGTGGACAGCCCAGGTACTAAGAAGCAAAGCTCCTTCTCAGTTGAGCATTGCTGCTCCACCTGGTTTATGAGTACCGTATATACTTGAGTATAAGCCGACCCGAATATCAGCCGAGGGACCTAATTTTACCACCAAAACTGCATTAAAAATGTGCTGAAAAACTCAGCTCATACACGAGTATATACGGCAATAACCC